GGGGGGTTTTTGCCCACCCCCAAAATGTAAGTTACACATCAAGAGGTCCCCCCTGCAAAGGGTGACTATACATATATATATATATACATGGCACCCCCTCCAAAAAGTCTTGTTTTTGGTATTTGCTGTGTTTGGAGAAGGCTTTGGAATGTTACAATTATATAAACCTCATTGTGTACAGCTGAAAGGGAGTACCATATGACGAAAGCCAGCCGATAGGCTAGGCTTGAGCTTTTAGAGCGAACGAAGTGAGTTAAGGGGGTGTGGGGGGGGGGTGGTCGTTGAGAGGGACATTTTGAGAGGGTTAACCCAGAGCTTGGTGGGGGAGAGCGCTCCAAAGCGAGGGTCAGAAAAGCAGTGAAAATGGGGTCTGGTGATGCGAGTGATGCAATGGGCGCCGAGCAGTGCATCATTAGCATCATGAAGGGCTTTGGAGGCTATTTGGACAATGGGCATTGAGCAATCGCGTGGAGACAGGGATCCACGTACAGAGCAGACCGCAGCCGCGTGTAGGATACGAGTTCCCAGGACATGAGTTCAAGTCCATGAATTTGGATTGAGTTTCGGTGGGGATGCCTGCGAGGTTGACGACATATCCGCATAGGGCCCCTGCCCCCTAGCAAAAACTATACTTGCACCATGTCCTCGGTCGAGCGGATGCCTCTCGCGGTGTCCACACGCACCGAACGTTTTTCCGGCTTGCCGGTGCAGATAGATACATACATACATACATACATACATAGAGATAGAGATAGAGTCTTACTACTGCATGACTCATGACGTCGCCTTTTTGCTGGCAGCCCTGGCCGAATCCAGTCAGCCTGGGTCCACGGCCCAAAGATCTACGCACGCAGGTGCCAAAGTTTTGGATCGAGCCAGAACATGACTCACTCAAGCCCAGGCATGTGCATCGATAGGCGCACAAATCCTCACTCCTTTGCTGGCCCAAGCTACTCCCGATGCACCTCCCCTTATGCGCCGCGGGATCAAACGTCCGTGTCCCGGCTAGGACTCTTCCAAATCAAAAAAGGCTGCTTTTCGACGCGCCGCAGTATGCATTGCAAACTTCAAACACTCCAAATGTAACAAACACATAATTGCTTCTTTTCAAACGCATTCCGTACTCGCGCGCAGCCCGCGCGCGCGGCGACGCTGACTATGATTTATGGAGAAGGTCTTCGCGCGCGCGCACGCGGTATGCCACCACTCGGACTCAGACGGTATTTCCCCTTCGCTAACGCTGATGTCGCCTTCCAACTTCCAAAAGATGCATACCTTCCTGCGTGTGACAAACACATGCCATTGCCTTGTGATGATGACCTACACCAACATACAACGTATCGCACTTCTCTTTCACTACTTCTTTCATGCCAAGCTTATCCCAAAGCCGCCCGGCTTGCTTCTCTGCTCCCTCCATCACCATTACATACGCCACCCCGCATCTGCGGCACCGCTGACTCGCAAGCTGCCGACCATGCGTCTTGTGCCGCGACGCCCGCCAGAAAAAGAGACACTCGTTTGGCGGCTGCTGGCTTTCGTCCCCCCCTTCTCAGGTATGTATATACATACATACACATGCATGTGTACGAGGTATGCTGGTATGCTTGCACATGCCGTGCCCAGAGAAGGGAACTGCAGCTATGTTTGGAGGTGCGCGTACCTAATATACTGTAGAGCAACATACAGCACGCCAGGAAAATCTCGACAGAACAGAGCGGAGATGGTATGCAACAACTGCCTTGCAGTGTGAAGTGAAGCCTAGACCATCCACGAGCAAGAGTCTAGGCTGTTGGATTTCTTTAGTGTGTGTGTATGTCAGCCATTAAGTTTACCTAAAATCTAGGAACCAAGTCATTAGTGCGAGCGCTTGTTCAAGGAAGCGTGAGCTATCCTGCGTCCTAGCTAGGAGCAAACAAGTCATAGCAAGAATGCTACTAGTAGTAATGCCCTTTGTTACTAGTAGCGATGCCCTTGTTCCTAGTAGCTTCTTGTTACTAGTAGTAAGGCAACGTCTTGCTCCTAGTAGCGATGCCCGTTGTTACTAGTAGCTTCCTTGTCGGAGGTCGGAGAGTCCGAAAGTCCTGACGGGGACGGCCGTGAGTGGGTCCGTGGTGTTCTGTTTCGGATGTTTTCCATTTTGTTCTCCTCCCTTGGCAGCTAGATGGTGTGTCTTGAATATGCTTGCCGACAAGCTGTTCGAGTGGATTGGCTTTCTTTTGACGGGATCTTTCGATGGGGTTTTGGTGGTGGTCGCGGGGTTGAGCCACGTTGGAGATTGTACAAGTACCTGTGTTAAGTCGTCTGGTCTTGTAGAAAGTCGTCTGGATGCTGCGTTTACAATGGGGTTAGATGCAAGATGGCAATATAAGGAAGGTGACCAAAAAGTGATTTGAAGATAATCGACATGGGTAGGTGGATACCTCGCCTCGCGCGGCACTCGCGTCAGGTTCGAAAAGACTCGCGCGGCGCTCGCGCCAGTGTAGCCATGTTTCCGACAAAAAATTGTAGCCAGACCGCTGACTGTTGGAACCGCCGACTCATTCAAATCCATTTAAAGCCTGGTCAGAGCAAGTAGAAAAGATTCGTGTAGTCTCAGCACGCTGCATCTATGTTTGCAGGCTAATCTTGCGTTCTGATTGGGGTTCGGTCGCCAAAATGCTGCAAACTTCGACATAAAACTAGTTCTTTCCTGCACAGGGGCAGTGGATTCTTGATGTATAGCAGTTTTGACAAACATAATTACTTCCGTAGAGCGCTTACCTTGTGTTTTAACATAAAACGGGTGACTTTTCGCGAGCCGGGTGACTTTTGACTATGCTGCGTTTACATGCGGCCGGGTGACTTGCTGCAAACCCGGGTGACTAAACCCCAGCGCTTGTAGGAAATACCAACATTTAGAGGCGAGGCAAAAAAAAGAGACCACAGAATTTGAACAGCTAGTAGGGAGGGGGATGCCATCGCTAGGTTGGAGGCCGGAGGCCATTGCTTCTAGGTTGGAAGCTACTAGGTTTGGCTGGGGAACTTCACCCTAGGGGCATTTGGTCGACCCCCTCTTATTTGGAAGGTTTTTGTTGAGATTTGATCGCTTTGCTTGTTGGTTTTGTTGATGTGAAAGATTTCGGACTTAAGAGCGACCTGGTTCCCGACGTAGAGTTGTAAGGACCATAAGGCCACAGATTTCGACATCCCGATTCGACATAGCACGAGCACTGAGCAAGGTTCAAATGACAAGAGTTTGAGTGGAGGCATAGCACTTGGAGCTTGCCGCAAAGTCTATAGTCTAGTCTAGGTGCTAGGCTAAGCCCAAGTAGCGCCCAGCAGCAGGCCTGAACCAACAAAGTATGTTGTCAAACCAAAAGGTGGCCTGTGCACCTTTTGGTCTCCATCAGCGCTAGTCAATAGTGTCCCCCGGTCTTTCGTGTGAAAAGACACCTTGGCCGGGTGCCAAGGACACAGTATTATGCTTGGATTTGACACAGCAGCGGGCACAGCTCAAATCAGTTTGAGCAATCTGTTCAAACAACATCTTTGCCACCTTTGCGCACAGAATTGTATTTTCGAGTAAGAGATCGATGGGTGTTGCGCTAACCAAACAAAGGCTGCGACGAGTTTGTGCTGAGGTCTTTGATACTCTCTTGTACTGCTATGCCATTCAGTTGAAGCGTGAGAAGGAGGCATTGGTTGAGCTTGAGGACAGAAGAAGCAATTCGGCACTGCCCAACAGAGACAGAGATTGCCCAAAGAATGAGAGCATTGCAGCAAATATGGCCATCATGGGCTTGGCCTCACAGTCACAGCAATGGGTAGTGCGATCTTAGGCACCGGGCGTGAGCACCATTTGCTCTGGTTCATTCCTCCAGAGAGTGAGGAGGCAACGAGAGCACAGCACAAACACCCTGGTTTGGCAGTTTTTTGAATTTGCATCCTGGAACCTGAACAAAGGAATCCAACCCGGATGAGAACAATTTCCTTCCTCGAAGGCTTGCAGTTCGAGTCCTGTATTTTGCCAATTTTTGTGAGTGTGATCACATTGTCAGGATGAAGGATGTTTGCCAGTCCTACACGAGCTCAGCTGCCCAAGGAAATCTCAGCTGAGCCTTGCAAAGATCGAGGCAACCTGTTGCATTTGCAGACTGGTCCGACCAGCATCGGAAGAGGGCAAAATTGGATCAACTCAGCTGGCCCATTAAATCCAATCTTGAGTGAGTCTGGTGTTTAGCACCCTTTCTGCTCTTGCAGCTGTGGAAGTCCATGTCCGTGCACCCCTGCAGACTTTCTTTTTGCGGACTGATATGAAGTTGATAATGCAAAATTGATTTCAAAACCCTAGATCGCATGATCCAACATGATACATGTTCATCCAGTCAGGTGTCCTTCCATTCGTCATATCCGTGGATCAGAGAGGCCGAAGTTAAGTGGTGCTCCGAGACCTGTAGCAATCAATGTAAAATGGAGTTGTAAACCGCTGCATGCCACTTGCCACATGGAACCCCAATGCCTCGAGACCCTTGCTTGCAGCTGGCGCCCACAGAAAGCACCAGCCCAAATTACCGACATCGTGGTCGGGGCATCAGTGCGATGCACACCTTGGGCGTATGAAGATGGCTCCATCTACTCCAAGACTCTTGACTGTTTTAAGTTGTCTTCATGTCGGCTCGCAGCTGGACAGCGCGAAACCCCACAGCCTGTTTGCACAAGGTAGCCGTCGATTCTTGGATTTATATGTTATTATTTTTGTAACCTCTGCCACCGAAGCTAGTACAAGAAACGATGAGCAGCATCTTGAAGCATGGATGACAGATAAATTATGGCTAAAGTTGCTACTCTGACTCAAACCTTTGCATGACCCACAATGAGTACGTATACTCGAGCAATGGTTTGTCTTGCGATGCTGCTGCTCACAGGCTTGGCAGTAGGATAAGATGCTGAGAGACACTGCTTGGTGTACATTGCCGATCTTTGCAAATACTCCTGATTACACACACACACAAAAAAAAATATATATATATATATATCACGAAAGCCATCCGATAGGCTAGGCTGGAGTTGGGTTGGGCGAACGAAGTGAGTATAGGGGGTGGGGGGTGGTGGCACAGCGCGCGAACCCGGAGCCTGGTGGGGGAGAGTGAAGAAAACTACTTGGAGTTGGGAGTTGTTTTTGGGGTGTTGTGATGCAGGTGATGTCATTGATGGCCATCAGTGCATCATTAGCATCATGAGGGGCTCAGGAGGCAATCTAAAGCGTCTTTTATCAGGGGTGGGAGTTCATGTCGATGATAGGAAAGAGGAGACAGCGGGACGCGAGAAGTGGTTGGAACACCTCCAAAGGAGGGAGATGTGTTTTTTGGCGGCGGCTGAAATAGTGTTCGACCGTGTCTCTTAAGACGCTGTGTGATCTGTGAGGGCAGGAGAGGGACCAGAAGTCTGTGGGGAAGACAGGCAGAGCGGAGGAGGACGTGGTTGGAAAAGAGGGTCTGCAAGAAATCTTGGAGCTGCTTGGGGGTGGCCTCCCCATATGGGGTGGGAGTTCATGCGGCAGACGTGCGTAGCGGAGTTGGACGTGGTGGGCAAAGACTGATTGCAAGAAATCGCTGACTTTCTTGGGGGTGCCCTTTTTTGTGATGAAGATGTCCCCTAACCATACGCAAAAGGGAACCCCATATGGGGTGCGAGTTGGGCTTTGAGTTGCTTGGGGTGTCCTTTGTTTATGGTGAAGAGCCAGACGCAAAAGGGCACCCCATGTGGAGTGGGAGTTCATGTGCAGGATAGGCATGGCGGGGGAGGATGTGATAGGAAACGAGGTGAGGACCTCCCAGGGATCTCGCATTCACTCCCCGTGACCATATTGATCTCTTTACACGGCCTACCGAGGAGGTTGTAGACTAGGGCTGTTTGGTGTCGTTATTCATGCCGATGATAGGAAAGAGGAGACAACGGGACGCGAAACGTGGTTGGAACTCCTCCACAAAAAGGAGATGTGCGTCTTTGGTGGCGATTTTGGTGGCGATTGCAATAGTGTTCGACCGGGATGAAAGGGAGGTGTGTGTCTCTTAAGACACTGTGTGATCTGTGAGGGCAGGAGAGGGAACAGAATGCTGTGGGGAAGGTGGAAGACAGGCAGCGTGGAGGACTACGCGGTCGGAAAAGAGGGTCTGCAAGAAATCTTGGAGTTGCTTGGGGATGCTCCTTTTTAATGCTGAATCAAGGCCGTGGCAAGACGCCAGTAGGAGAGAGAGAACAGAATGACCAAAGCCACTACCGGTAGCTTATTTTTTGACGATATTTGACGATGGAGTTGCATAACCTTTTTCACTAAACTAAAGTTGACCCTCCAGATGGGCGCCCTTCTCCAGGTCACCCTTGTTCACAGGAAAACTAAAATCACATTGAATCACATTTGAATCATGTTTAATCTTGCTTGAAGCTTATAAACCTTATTTGTGCACTTTTTTGCTTTAAACCGGCAAAAAGTGATTTAACATGATTTGAACATGAAAAAATGGTACTTGTCACTTTTGTATCTGAACGAGAGGTTCATTAACAGGCTGGCAAGTAAATGCGTTAATTTACTGTGTTTGAAAGTCAGCGTTTCATTGTCATCATCATTTTGTACTACTATTGATACTTCAATTGTTTTTAGAAGAACATGTTACAAGTTGTGAGTTTTATCACCAACTAAACCTTTGGGCGGTGGAACCTTCACTGACTGACATTCATTGATTCATGGGTCACTTGACATGGTAGGCGCAAGAACTAAATTTGAACTAAATGCAAGCTGACAGACGGTCACAATTTGTATTCTTAGTTGCTGTTGCTGAAGGGCGCTGTGCAAGTAAGATTTCACGAGATGCAAGATTTGGAGATCAATTCATTTGCTGTTGAAGCGGGCTGGTCAGATGACTGGGTGACGGTTCGCCTGCACCCCTGGGGAAAAGCCCGAGGAAGACCGCCAGTGATCAATAATGCATAGATCCTTTCGCATGCTGTGCCAACCCCAGCGAGAGCAGTTCCTGTTCGAAAGGCAGCGGCTGCTAGGCCTAACGATGGGAACAGCGCTGTTGTGATTGCTGAAGGGCCCAGTGCCACGGTTGTTTATGCGAATGTCACTGCTGTTCCTGATGTTGATGAGCCCCGCGCCGCAGCTGTTGATGATGGGGGCAGCGCTGTTGCTGACGGGCGCCGTTTTGCTGTTGCTGATGCAGTGTCTGCTCATGGATAAAGTGCCTATGTGCCTGGAGAGTCGCTTGTGCAACCGTGCGTGATCTGTCATAATGAGATGGTGGAAAGTGAGCAAGAGCTTAGATCCTTGTGATGTGGCCGCATGGTGCACTTGGACTGCGTGAACAGGTACATGGAGGTTTCAGGCAAAACGCTGGACGAGATGCCCTTACAGGCGTCACCAGTCAATCAGGGCCATCATGGTTCCGTTGTAGACCAGCCAAAGGCTTGAAAGATTTGATGAGGGTTTGTCAAAGTGTCTGACTGACTGCGCGGTTTGACCAACGCGCTCAGTGAATTTTGTCTTATGAGATGGGTTACTATGTGGGAGAAGTACCTACATAGACTACAGCCAGCCAATTAGTTCTGGTAGTTCCGGGGTGAGTGACATGACACGTCAGCTTAGATGGAAAATGTGTGATGCTGGATTGTGATTCAGTGTGACGCTTGATTGGTTGTTCGAAGCAATCAAAAGGGTTCCCTTAGCCTTAGAGATCAGTGTGTCTTATGAATGTGAGCAGTACTTTGAGTTTTGAGGCGTCCTTCATTCTACATGCTTGCTTGTCAGTGTGGCAATTGGAGGATTTTCTTATTGTTGCTCTGTCACTGAATGGATACTGGAGCTGGAGGATTTTGTACTGGAAGACTGATTGAATACTGAATGAATACGGACGAAAACTAGTTGAATACTGCTGTATTTTGTTTTTCCGGAGCTGGAGTTGCACTTTTGCATGTTTTCACTTTTTTGTCACTTGTGTGAATTTGCAAATGTCAGCTTTTTGCGCTTTTGTGTCACATGTATGCCCTTCTGTGCACTTTTGTGTCACTTCTTTGCACTTCAAACCTTAATGATTGGTGATGAAATCTGAGGACGCATCAGCTTTTATCTTATTTGTGTCAAAAAAGTGCACAAATAAGAAAAAACTGATGTCAAACTGATTTGAGCTGATTTGGAACTAAAAAACCTTGGCGCCGCCATCGTGACACCAAGACAGCCCTGCTGGGTGGCCCAGTGGTGTCTGGTCTCAAGATGAGCCTTTAAAAAAAATTTCTCCGCGCTCCGGAAGAGGAATAGTAATGATCAAACTATGAACCAAATAAAGACATAAACGCGTGTGATGGAGTTGTTTTTGTTCGGCGCGCTTTGCGCGCAAGAGTAACGCCAGGATGGTTTTTTGAGTTGAACAATGAACAGTGTGCTTTGGTTTGGGGTCTCAATATGAGTGCTGTTGGCAAAGTGCAGTTGTCTGATGATGATGATGATGATGATGACTCGGAAAGCTGCATTTCTAGGACATTCCTATGATTCTGATAGGTCATCATCACATTGGGGCACTGAGTCAGACCCTAGCATTGAAAGAGTCAGGCGTCAATTATGTGATCTTCAAAGTATTGATAAACAAGCCTATCGCATATTCTTTGAAGCATTGAGTCAGAGTCGAAGCTGAAGGGCACTGTGCCAACCTCTTCATCTGGACGTCGAATGAGCAGACTGGCTTTTAAATGACGGAGACTGGGCACAAGTTCCACGTCACAGGTCAATGCAAGCATGTGGAGGACGGATCAAAAGTTTGCTACGTTTCATGGCCCAAAATTTGTCAGCCAAAGTGATGTGTATTACAACTTGTCACCGCTCGACTGTAATACTTTGCTCTATGAATGATGAATCAGGTTCTTCACATGGCGCCCGCCAAAAGTTGTTGGGCAAGTTGGCGTAATTAGTTGCGAGCGATCGCTTTGAACATGTCTTTTTGATAAAAAAGGGTGTTTGCGGCCGGCGACATTCCTTGATATTTTCAGGCAGGTTTTGATTGCTCTGATTCCATGTGAACCATCATGAAGATCAACAATGGATGGCCATGACTTGTTTGATGAGGTTGACGCTGATTGATCTGAATGTCTTGTCACGTATTGTTCAACTTTAACCTAGACCAAAAATGGAGCCTACTGCATTTTTGACTGAGTTTGATGTTGTGTGCAAGGGTTGGAATCCCGGCCAGCACAGTGCTCTTCAGCCAAACCCTGACTAGTTTCAACAAACTCTCTTGCTACGATTCCAGTGCTCTTCAGCAAAAACTTGACTAGATTCAAAAATCTTACAGCAACAATCCCTGCCAGCACAGTGCTCAGCCAAAAACTTACTAGTTACTATTCAAAAATCTTACAATCCTTGCCAGCGCAGCCAAAACTTGACTACTTTCAAAAAGAATACTCAATGCCTTCAGCCAATACTTGACTAGTTTCAAAACCCTTTCTTTGTCACAATCCCTGCCAGCACAGAGAGCTCTTCAGCCAAAACTTACTAGTTTCAAAAACTTTCAACGAGTTACTTGTTACTCCTGGCCTCGTCGAGTATCGTAAAGGAACCGTTTGTACTTAGTACTTCTTTCATTGTGTTTTGTAAGTTGACTTGTCGCTCGACTCGTCAACTTATCGTAAAAGGAAATGTTGAACTTTTCTTTTGCAAGTTCACTGCAACTTCACTCGTGGCTCCACTCGTGGACTTACTCGTGAAAGCACTTTTGGTTCACTCATACTTTTGCTCGGTGGGAAAAATCATTTCTAATCATATTTGTGTCATTTTTTACTCTTGAGTAATTCCTAATCATTTTAGATCTTATTTGTGACAGTTTTTTGCTTAAATATGAATAACTATGATCAAAACAAAAAATGCCAAAAAAAGGACTAGCCAGGGTGACCTCAAAGGGCGCCCATCTGGAGGGTCAACTTTGATTTAATTTGCTGATTTTCATAGAATGATGGCCTGGATATGCCTCGAGTACCCGACGCAACTTGAAGGTTTGGGGCAGTTTGCGTAGGCAACTTTTGAGCAATTTGGTTTTTATTACAGAACGGATGGGGGGCCGATCACGCTTGCTTTGTGGCTCTAGTATGACAAATCAAGGCCCTTTTTATGACTTGCTTCCTGAAATCTATTCTTCTCGGCTGCTCAACTGATACTTGCTGGTGATGCTTCCAAACCGCATTGATCCACATTGTAGATCTTCTACGGCGTGTCTAGGTTATGCAGAGCCCAAAGTTATCACGACGGAACGCAAGATATAATATGCAGTGACTACTGCGACCATTGGGCGGTTCAGTGTTGAGCGACGCGCGTGCTTTCCCATGGCTGCGCGTATACCTTGTGGGCGTAGCGGCCACTCTACTTGTACTGTGTACGAGCCACATCGGCGCGCTATGATTCTCTTTGGCGGCCCACATCTTGGACGCGTCCGAATGTGCTACGAGATTTGTGGTTCCATCTACAGGACAAGAACAACAACGCGCAGCAGGCCAGCGCCCCTCAGTTCCTTCGGGGTGCCCTTTTTCAGCTTGAAAGCGCCCTTGAAGGGGCACTTTTCCCCCAAACCTATGTATTCTGCTTTCTATTTCTACCGCCTGTCGGCGTGGCTGCAGTGTCGACTTCACCCCATAACACAGGTACTCTTTGCCCGATGTTAGCCAATCACTTGATCTTGCATCGCCAGGGCCAAGTCTTTGAGTCCATCTACAGGACACGAATCACAAGCGGGCAAGCACCCCTCAGTTCCTTAGGGATGCCCTTTTTCAGCTTGAAAAAGCGTCCTTGAGCCGGGCGACCAAAGGCCCCCCCCAACCTGTGTATTTTGCTTTCTATTTCCAACAGCAGTAGCATCACTCCAATGTCGACGTCCCCCATAACAACCGTGATCTTTCCCCGGAAACAAACAATCGCATGCTCTCGGCAGTCAGCTTTCTCCGGTCCCCACTTAGCAGCGCGCCTACTTTACGAGTCTATCTACAAGACAAGACAAACAAACAGCAGGCAACTGCCCCTCAGTTACTTAGGGGCGCTCTTCTTATCTTGAAAGAACACCTTGAGCAAAACGAAAAGGGGCACCCCACCCCCCCACCTGTGAATGAGAGCCTGTCGTATCCGCCTTTACTGCCATTTTCCACCTTTGCCTTTTATTTCCCTATTCCCACAGCGGTTCCGGTGCGCTCTCGAATTCACCTCCCATAGCCATGTTGATGTCTTCTTACGGAGGCTGGCTTTCGTCCCCTTCCTTCTTAGGTGTATGCGATATATTTAATTTGGTTCAATATTTTGGAAAGGAAAAAGAACCTGTCCTGAGCGAGGGCAAGAGACCCTAGTAAACCCGCTTCGAGGTGCGGCGTTCCCTTTATGCGAAGATGATAGCGAGGAAACTGAGGTCATGGCTATGCGACAGGACACGATAGTGGTGTAGGACTCTACAAGCACCAGCAAGTGCATTGAAAGTCACAAATCAAACAGCAACAACAACAAACGCAAACTATCCGCAGCGCAAGTCAGAAAGTGTTGGTTTTCCTCAGGAGCTCCTGCAACACAGTGTCCGACACCTGAAGGCAGCCTGTTTCTCCACTAAGTTTGTCTAACCAATTTTGCCTAGTTGCAACCGCTTTACAGGGCGTGTGCAGATTCGGAAGACCGGAGTTTACCTTGACTGCAAGGCAGGGGAAGAGTACCATGCAACGTCATCGGCCTCTCAAGAGCAGCTGGAACAGCTTCAGGATGCAGCTTTAATATGGTTGATTGTGTTTCAATGTGAATTCTGGGTTGGATGTAGCGGTGTAGCAGCCTTTGCTTGACTGGCATCATTTGCATTGAAATCGAGGAGGAAGAGCTGGCCCAGCAGCTTCAGAACGGTGTGCCCCGGCAGCAGACTATTGTTGCACAATTGCACGATCGAAATCGATATTGTTCAGGAGGTTAGATAAACGGCTTGACATTGGAAGCTTAAACAGGCGTCAAGCTTGCAGTTCATGAACCTGAACTCAGCTTCGCACATGGAAAAGGAATTTGAAACAGGATGAACCAAGATCTTTGGAAGAACTCGTAGCACTCCAGGAACCTGCCCCCAGTTGCCTTGCTTGTAAGAATGTAATTAGTCTCAGACTGTTTGTTGTGTTGCATGTACTCCAGCAAAGCCAACAAGCTGCGTCAAGCAAGGGTATCCTTACAAACTAAGTCACCTGATTTTGCCTGCAAATTCTCAAGGTAAACTGATCGCCAGAAAGGTGCTGGCGTGCAGGCTCTCTGTAAATTCATTTGCAACGTTGCCCTCCACACCCTGCGACATCAAGTCAAGGTGGACGCTAGAAGCCTTGGTTTCACAGATCGTCTGTGGTTTGGAACGAGAGAAGGTTTTGCCCGCGAGAAAGGTAATTCCAACCCAAGGAACACCGGCACCGCAACACTGCAGTGATTTATTTTCAAGTTGCGTTTGTTTGCAAACATTCCATTCTCTTTGCAGCTTGGTGGTCAATTTTGTTTGCCTCAGATGGCTGGTGCCTTTTGTGGCACCATTCAGAGTTTCAAGAGGGGCTGTTTACCTTGTTTAACTGCGGGAGTACAAGCAAGGATTTGGCGACCATCTTGAAAACGGGAGCTGTTTCCATTGAGACCAAACGCAAGATCAGCTCAGCAGCAATGGCAAGAGTGGAGTGCAAAAGCTGTTAGCTTGACAAGAATGAACTACGCTGCATTCTTGAGGCGTTTCTATCTCCAGCAACCTCCAGCAAAGGTCATACCAATGTGGAGAGCGAAATGTTTGCCAGGTCTAGCCGCGACCATCACAATGATGCTAGCTAGAGCCTTAACCAGAAGGTTTGACCTCCGTAGAAAGACAGAGCCGTACATCAGGGCTTACCACACTTCACAAGTTGCTTGCTCATTGAACCGGCAAACTCTAAGCAACGCAGTGTCAAGCTCGCACAGACCCTTGCATGAAATTGCATTGGCTTCTCTCGCTTTCACTCTACAATCAACTTTTAGAATGTTTCCACCAAAGAACCTTTGCTGATATCTAAATATCTAAACTCAAGTTTGACTTGGCAAACGCAGGCAATCGGGGCAAATGTTGCTTCAATGCAACAGTTCCTCAAACAGCGATATGAGCTGCTGTCCGACCCAACGTGGGAGGGTGAAGGGTGACTTGGATTTGAGTTGCCATTGTTTGGCCACGTGGTCACAGAGCTTTATGGATTGCACATGGCCACATGTTCCAATCCGAGGCGCCCTGTAGATTGCGCGCAGTATTCGATGTTTTGTGACAAGAAGCTGAAGTGTGCAGAGGAGCGGTGCTTCAACAACAAGAGCGCCCATAAAAGCCACAAATTATCAAATTTGCTGGAATTGTATTGTTTGAAAAGTGCTCAACGCTACGGTAGTTGCACAAAAGAAATTTGGGGTGCTGCAATGTAGAACACTGCTTGATGTGTGTTCCACATGCAAAATGACAGGAACCATTAACAGCTGGTGAGAAAGAAGCCATGGATTCACAGATTGCTCAAGCTGGCAAGGCCACACTAGTTGAAATGACGAGGAATTGCATTCAAACGTGGCAAAGTGTCAAAGTGTTTACTCGTTACTCAGATGTTGTTGACATTATTTGAACAACAGCATTTGTCCTAGCAGTTTCAGATATGAACCAGCACATAATCTGAGATAATCAAATTGTGTTGCAATGGTGCACGTGGGTTAATTATATATTTATATACACATATATGTATATATAGATATGTTCACCTATTTATTGCGGGATGATTGAAGTTCGCAGGCCAACCTTCGAAGTTGGTGCCGTGCCTATCCCATGTATTCGACGTCTGTGCAAAAGTGCATTGTCGAAGGAAGTCCTGACGGATACGCTGAAGAGTCTTTTGGCTTCAGAAAATATCCAGCGCTGGACACTGTTGAGATAGCCAACAAACTCTATCGAGGATGTTTCGATCACAGCAAAAGCTTAAGCTGACTGGTCCAGATCTTAGAGTTCGAGTCAGTTGTGTGTTGATTTGTGATATTGCAACGACAGTCCGACAGACATTTGAGCTCAAGAAAACAATTGGCCCCATGTACATGACCTTTTGGCCCTTTTGTATATTATTTGGAAACTCAAGGGTTTGTCAAGATTTTTTCCCACCTGCCAGGTAAGGGTTGTTAGATTTATCAGAGATGTCCCGCTCCTCCTCATCCTCCGTGTCCTCCTCAACCGTGAGCGCTAGATCTCAGTGGGCACTGCCGGGCCTCAACCGCGAGGGCTCGATCGTAGTGGGCGACGTCAACCACGCACTAGCCACCGCCGGGCCTCAACCCCGAGCACTAGATCGCAGTGGGAGCCGCCGGTCCTCAACCGCGACTGCCAGGTCGCAGTGGGCACCACCGGGCCTGAACCAGATAGAAAGAACGCCAGAAATAATGTCAGAAAATATGTCAGATAGAACGCAGCGTTATGTACCACATAAAATGCCAGCGTATATGCCAGACACAATGCCAGAATATGCCAAATAGAGTGCTAGAAATGCCAGATAGAATGCAAGAATGTATACTAGATAGAATGCCAGACAAAGTGCCAGAACATATGCCAGTTTGAATGATGGCCTATACATGTTCTCTATACTTATTTTGGCAAAATACACACTTCCTGGGTGATGTTGAAGCAATATGGCCGTTAGCCTTTGGCACCATGGTGGGGATCACTCAAGTAGTTTTTCAACCGCAGGTTTGTTTGTTTTTTCACCGCTTCACCGCCTGCCAGGTGAGGGTTGTTAGATTTTATGTCAGCTGCTTCTCCTCTCCTCTCCTCTCCTCTCCTCTCCTCTCCTCTCCTCTCCTCTCCTC